TTTCAACTTTCGAAATTAATCTTTGACTTAAACGAGATAGGAAAAATTTCGTTTCTCTCTCTCTCTCACACTCTCACTCATTCATTCTCTTTTTCTGTATGAAAGGAAAAAAGAAGGAAAGAGATAGTAAAGAGAAAGAAAGGCGCCAATGATCTGGCTCGTCGCGTTTCACCGATTAATTAACGCGCATTAACTTTCGTCCTGATTCCGGCAGGATTCAGGAAATTAAATCGTCGCTTCTTGATGTTCGATCGTGAGAAAAAACGAATGAGTGAGTGATTTGGAAAAAGATAGAACGAATGAGAGAAAGAGAGAGAGAGAAACTACGTTGGGATTCGAGACTTGAAAAAAGAGACTTGTAAATCGTGCAAAGTTAATCTTGTATTCTTCTCTCTCTTTCTCTTTCTCTCTATCTCTATCTTTCTCTCACCTCAAATATATATAAATTTCGTATATATGTATTTTCTTTTTTCTCACATTTATAGAAGAATTTTGATATCCTTTTTCTCTTGTTCTCTCTTATAAATATATAAATTTTTTATACATCTCTCTCTCTCTCTTTATCTTTCGTTCTTAATTAAAATAATGAAATAAATGAAATAATAATCGTAATTTTTAGTTAACAATTGTTTATTTCTACACGTGATTTGAATTGTGAAAAGTTTTAAATGATATAGAAATTCATATTTGTTTCGATAAAACTAACTTTTATTTAACAAAAAGAAAATAATGTATATATAAAAGTTTTCTTTTGTTAAAATTCAAAACGTATCAACTCCAACAGGTGCCCCGTGTATTTATTTCATTAAATAACCCCACTCTTTGTATTAATATATTTTTTATCATTTATTTTAATTAACTATTTCAAGTAACCAACCACCGCATCGTCCAATGATAATATATCTAGGAATGTTCGTGGTTTTTCTGTTTCCTTTTCTTTTTTCTATTTCATTTATCGCAACTAGTAAAAAAAAAAAAAAAAGAAAAAACAAAGAATGATATAAAAGATATATCTCTTTCGTATATAAATTTACCATAATGAAGAAATTTGGTTTCATTTTTCGATTTAATCGTATTACTCGATTCTCGTAAGATACAAATCCTTCGAATCGTTCTTTTTTAGTTGAGCAGAAAAAAATAAAAATAAAAATAGAGAGGGAGAGAGAGAGAGAGATAAGTGTCTTCTCTTAAGCTACGATGTATCCGTTGTAAATAATCTTTTATCGCGCGACGTAAAGGGGGGTTGCATTTATATGGTGAAATAACCCGAGACGAAACTTCCTTTCAATTTATTTCATTTACTTCGTCGACATAAATATATATTCTCGTCTCTTTCCACCAAAAAATATTACAAGTATCCGATAATCAATAAGCTTCGAACCACGAGAGATAATTATTTTCTTTTTAACGATATTGATTAATTAATTCGTTAATTTTCTAATAATAATAACAACAAAACAAAAGGAAACGTCTTTAATTGGATATTACATTTAAAAATGAAACAAAAAATAAAAGTAAAATATATCTGTATGGAAATAAAATACGATTCGTATATATATATATATATGTATGCACATACTCGAATAACGGTATCGGTAAATTGTTTCATTAATTTGTAACAAAATCAAATATTTTTTTAACGATATTGTTAAATTGATCCGTTAATTTATTTTTTTTCTTTCCTTTCTTTTTCCTTTTTTTCTTTTTTTTTTTTTTTTTTTTTACAGAAACAACAATATGATACAACTCTAATTGGATATTACGTCGTAAAAATAATATACACGTACGGAAATGAAAATAAATTCGTATACAATGTGTGTGTGTGTGTGTGTAATAATGATTTTGAACAATTTATCAATGATCTTAAAATAACAATATCGATTGATTGTGTCCCGCTAATTAATTAATTAAATAATTAATTTGTTTTACGCGAGATAGAAAAACAGATAATATATTGACGATAATTATAAATTTGTATACAATCATTACTTTTTAATTATAATAATTTTTTAATCTAACACACAGATTAAGCATATACTACGCAAAAATACGTAAATATTAAAAATAAAGATTAATTTAGATCTACAAAAAAAATAATAATAAACACGTTAATAAGTAAAACATAATACCATGACAAAAAAAAAAAAAAAAGAAAAGAAATTTCAACCATAGATATTGAAGAAAAATAAATAAATCAACACGATCAATAAGATGATTGAAATTATTTTCATTAAAATTACGACACGAATCTGTTCGTTGCAATTCGCTGCTCATCGACGATACATATATATACATATACATATTAACATACATATTTACATATATATACATATATTAGGAAGAGAGGAAGGGAATGGCCGATGAAGTGACCGATTGAATTTCAATATTAATCGAGCTTGGTCGTGTCCAACAGCTTCCGTTCGATCTCTCTCGATGGTTTGCCGCTCGTTTGTAGTATTAAAAATTCAGAAAGCCAAATTGGCTGCCACGCCTGACAAAACAATACCATTAAATGTTCTTCCTGACCCTTTTTGTAAAGTATAATGTATAAACTAAAACACACCACTACTACTACACATACACATATATTTACACAATTATCCATATATTCATAACGTATTTATAATTGAATACATACTTACACACACGTATCATATACGTACACATATACATATACAATTATGCACACGTGCATACAAATTTATAGTTACGTGCATCCTTCCAGGTATTATTGTACTTAAATACATATGTACACAATTATTATGCACACGTGCATAATACGAACATACATACATATATATATATACATTCGCAAACCTAAACTGGAAATGTATACGAATAAATATTTATAGAATAAAACTGACCAGTTACACGTGTATAACTATGAACGAAGAAAGGAATTATGAGAAATAGTGAAAGGGTGAGAAAGGGGTTGTGGAATGAAGAAGAGAAGAGAAAAGGGGGATGACGGGTGGAGGGGAGGGGGGGAGGGAGGGTTAGTTACTCGCATAAATTCCACAGCTAACTGTGGTTGCCATTCGGTAATTCAGTTTGAAATCGCCTTCCAGTTTTCGCATGAACAATCGGGAACAACCGGGGCGTTGTGTGTTACTCGTTTATGAAATGATCACGGTGTGTACCTGCCCCCCTTCCACCTCCCCCTCCCCCTCCCGCCATTGTTACGAGCTTTTATCGATACAAACCAACCAACCAACCAACCACCCACACACACACAACACACACCTTCCACCTACAACTCCCCGGGCCGATTTCTTTCGATCGCGAAATTATTTCATGCCAGTTCTTTTGACTATAATTTCAAAGGGTAGTAGTAACCTTTCTACGAATTTTCCCTGTACCATTCGATTCTCCCTTTTCTCTCTTTGTTCTCAGTTTTTTTCGATTAATTATATTACATATATAAAAAAAAAAATAAAGGTATTTTTCTACGGTTTCGAATCAAAAATATATTTGAAAATGTCTATTAATAAACACTTTTTTTTTCTTCCCCTCTGTAAAGTTTTCTCTATTTTAATTTAAATATGATTTTTTTATATTTAACTTTTGTTCTCTTTTCTTTTGTTTTTTTTTCATTTCATTTCATTTAACGTATCATTGTAATGTTTATTAGTTTTAATTATATTTTGTATAAATCATAACCAACGGGCGTAAGATTATAATTTTGATGATATTTTTTCTAAAGAAAAATATATTTGGTTTTAACGATTGTGTGTGAAAATAATGTTTAATTAAAATAATACGGGGACAGATCGGGTTTTTGTAATTTTCATGATTTTACGCGAACATAATTATTATAATATATATTAATCTAAATATAATTATTATAATATATATTATATCTAAACCTTTTTTTTTTTGTAAGAAAGAAAGAAAAAAAAACAAACATAATTATTTCAATAGAAAATTGTACTATTTTTTGTTATTTTATCTTTTTTTTATAAATAGATATTTATAGAGGATATTAAAGAGAGAAATAATTGAATCTGGGCTTAATACTTATATGTTCAACACACTATATATAATTAAATATATTTTCTCTTTCCCTCACACACACACACACACACACACACACTCAAACGTACTTTTTCCCTTTCTCTCTTTTTCAAACTAATACGAACGTTCATTTGCTTTTGTTCTTTCAAATGAAAAATCGTTAGAAATTTTACACTACGTATTCCAGAAAAAAAAAAGAAAATGAAGAGAGATAGGAGAAGAGAAGAGAAGAGAGAAAGAGGAATGAAATTCGTTTTAATTTACATTGAAATTTCGAAGCATCGAGTTTCTTTTTAAGCTTTCTTTACTAAAACGTGTCCGTGCAGTTTATGCTAATGTCTTTCGTCTACTTTGCCAGGTTTACTCTTAGCAGCGACAGCTGATAAAAACGACATCCTTTAGTTTTTCTTTTTTTTTTAAGTTTAAGAATAATAAATAAAAATGCAAAAGTCATAAGGAAAGATATATGTATTATATATGTATTATATACATATACGTATTTTAAATGAATATATATTATTCACATTTAATTTTAAATAATAATAAAAATAATGTTTGTATAAATATATATATATATATATATATATATATATTGGTGATAGAAAATTTTTCTTTTAACAAATTAATTATAATAAATGTATTTTATATTTTGAACAATTCAAAAATCACATAAATTAGATATTATTCTTCTAATAGGATTATTTTTTTTTCATATTGTTGTGTTAATTTTATTATAAGATATTATTAAAATTTTGTTTGTGTTATCAAAGATTTTATTTACGATACGCACGTATTTTTATCTTACTTTTTGTTTTTTCTTTTCATTCCGTACTTATTTGTCTTATATCTCATTTATTAAATTTATTAGGACGTCGGACACCGACACGATATTATTATTATTATTATTAATCCTTCTTGAGGAAGAAAAAAAAAACGAATGAAATAAGTTAACTAACGAATCTCGTTTCTTTTTATTTGTGTTACAGAATTCAACAAATCAAGTTGCGATACCAGGACAAAATCAAGTATCCTCTCAAGCCGAAACACAAGGTGGACCGAACACAGTATTAAGAGTAATCGTAGAACACATGATTTATCCAATTTCCCTCGACATATTGTATCAGGTAAGTTCGTATTAATAATAATAATAATTCATTCATTTCCAATTTATACACGTTGTTGTTACACACACTCTTACTACGAATTGATCTTTGAATTAACACCCTTCGGCTTTTATTTATTATTTTAATATTTAAATTCTACGCTCAACATTATTATTATTATTATTATTATTATTATTATTATTGGTTTTTCTGATAATTAACTAAAAACAATAATACAGTTATAAAT